TTTTCTTTTTCTTTTGGAGATGCCTTGTCACCTTGGTTGTTCAGGGTTTTTAATGGACTATTTCTCTGCCTGGTCATTAATGGAAGTGTATTCTGATTTTTTTTTTTTTTTCAGAAAGATTTATTATATAAAAGTCTATCTTTAGCCTGTTGCAAAGAATGCATTTTTTCTTTTGTTTCCAGTAGGTGGTGTCGAAGCCTCTTGGATTCCTGCTTTATATAAAGCGTTAATAATGCCTTTTTTTCTTTATAGATGTTTAATCATGCTCACTACCCTCAGTCTCAATCCCCGTAAGTGTTAGCAACAGTTTCAGTAGTGTTTGCTCAGATTCCCCTGAGGCTCCGTGGTGTTCGGTCTCGAAGTATATGGGGGGGAAGGAGCCCTCTGGCTTGGGGGATGGGGGCTGTGTCTCAACCTGTTGTGTTACATCCGTGGCTGGTAATAATCAACTGTTGTTTCTTTCCCCATCCCTGCTTCTCTGCCATCCTGCTTCTCTGCTTTCTGCCCTAATCCCTGTGCACTGCCACCGGCTGCGTGGAGTTCACATCTCTCCCAGGCAGGGTTGTTCAGAGAACCCGCTGTACCCCCGCCCCCTCCTGCAGGGAGCTCAGGCTGCGAGAGGCAGCTTCTTTGTTTTTCCCAGTCTACCACCCAATTCCCAGGCTTCTGACCTGTGGTAGCTCTTATGCGCAGCTCCCACACTGAGACGTGCTGGTGTGCAGTTTGTGTGTTTTTTGTTCAGTTTTAGAAGTTCAACTTATTGTTGTTTCAAGAGGGTAGATCTGGGGATTTCTCTCACGCCACCATGTTTCTGACATCACTCCCAAACTGTCTTAACCAATAGGACTTTTATATCGTGTGGAATAGGTATTCAAATACTGGGAGGACCACTGATGATCGTGATCAAGCACCAGGTGTATGGAACTTTATGTCTAGAATAGACCAGTCTGCTTCTGGAATGATCTAGATTTAGTTGGGATTTAACAGCTAGTGGACCAAATCCAGCCAGCTGCCTGTTTTCATAAAGTTTTACTGGAACCAGCCATGTCCATTCATTTACATATCATCTATGGCTGCTTTCACAGTAAGATGACAGAATTGAATAATTGCAACAGAGACCCAAAATCCTAAACTATTTATGGAATTTTACAGAAGAAGTTTGCCAAAACATTTAAATCAGCATTCCCCATACTGAGTTCAACAGAACACTTTTCTCCAGGAATTAGTAACTTTGCTTTTACAAATGGATTCTGTGGTCATTTAAGACCAGAAAATGCTAGATTAAACAAAGTTAAACAGCCTTTTTTCAACTGTAGGTCTTTTTGGAGCTTTTCATATGCTAATATGAATTGAGACACTCTAAAAGGCAATAAAAGGTGTGTTCCATGTAACTTATTTGACCGCTGAATACCTTTTTCTCAGCTCCCCAATTAATGTCTTGCAAAATTGTGTTCAAGAGAACATTTATATGGGAAATGCTAATTTAGACATTCACTTAACAGAAGTTTGAACTTGATAACAGACTCCTTGGATTATTTTTTCTAGTTGCAGAAGGTGAAAAGCTATTTAAGCACATAGACCTTAGCATCAGGTAAACCTGAATCTTAGTTAAGTCTATTGCCACTTACTAGGTATTGAACCTTGGCAAGTTAACTGATATTATAAGCAGGAGTGTGTTATAATTTATGGGGTATAATGCAAAATGAAAAGACAGGACCGCTTGTTCAAAAATTATTAAGAATTTCAAGATACCAACAGCAGAGCATTACACCAGGCATGGTTCCTTCTGAGCATGAGCCCTGTGCACAGCTTGCACACCCATGAAGTTATAACTCTGGCTATAAGTTTCAATTTCTGTAACTATAAATCTTACTTCATGGAATTATTGTGAGTATTAGTTCAGAACTGTCTGTAAAGGATCTAGTACAGTATCTGGAGTAGAATAGGCAATAATAAATACCTTTTTTTTAATTCAAAAGCATTTGTAGCTTTATTCAATAAGTATTTATTTAGTGTCTGTTATGTGCCAGGCACCATGCTAGGTACTTAGGGGTGCTATGGTGAAGAAGACAAATAAGATCCCTCTCTTTATGTAAATTATTGTTTAGTAGGAAAGACAGATAATTAAAAAAAATAAAGAAGACAATTATAAATTGTGGAAAGTGCTATAAAGGGAAAACAGGGTGCTTATAAAAGAATAGTAGAGAGGATTTGCTTTAAATTGAGTGGTCAAGCAAGTCCTCTTCTAGGAAGTAATGTTTAAATTCAGGTCTGAAGGATGAGAAGGAGCTCTTCATGGGAAAAGTAGGAGAGAAGAATACTACAGGCAGAAAGACCAGCTAGTGGAAAGGCCCTAAAGTGGGAAAGAACATGAGATTTGTGAAAAAATAAAAGTAGACTTTTATTTTTATTTTTGTGGCTTTAGTACAGAGACTGAGAAGGAGAATGATATAAAATGAGGCTGGAGAGAGGAGGAAGGTAGGGCCCCAGATCATGGCACATCATATAGGAAATGGTCAAGATTTTGGATTTTATACCAGGTGCAATGAACAGCTCTTAAAAGATTTTGGGCAGGCTAGTTACATGAGGTAATTGATATTTATAGAAGATCTTGTTTGTTGCTATATGGAGAGGAGCTATAGATAGGAAAGAGTATGTGAGTAGGAGGCTATTTCAGCATTCCAGGAAAGAGTTGATATTGCCTTGTACTTGGGTAGTTTTTGAGGATGTAAGTGATAAATAAATGGAATGGACACTTATTTTGAAGGTATAAATGACAGGCCTTGCTAACTGACTGGATGTGGAGGATTCAAGGGGAAAAAAGAATATCTCCTAACATTTTTATGAGCAACTGAGTGACACCATTTAACTGAGATGTGATACCTGAGGAGGGTTTTTTTTTTAAATTTTTTTGGAGGGGGGACAGCAACATAGAAATCAAGAACTCAGGTTCAGACATGTAAAGTTTGAGGAGCCTTTGAGACATCCTAGTGGAGATGGTGGTGATGATGGTATTAGTTATAATTGTTTGTATTGTTGTCTAGTATTCTATGATTACCAACTCTTGTTGTCACCTCATGAGATTACCGGGAAGTATTCAGAAAACATCTAAAAGAAAAATACCTAAAAATAAGAGTCGATAAATGTTATCACCGTGGCAAGCATATAAACTTATGACTGCTTGTTATAAAAGAACATGGTGTATCAGAAAAGATAACATGCGGATTCCTCAAGAAGATAATTTTATTGAAATGCAACACGTGTTTGATCCTGATGAAGAGGGTACCAGTTCTTCCCAAACAGTGGTGCTTCAGGGATGTGCTGGGATTGGGAAAACAGCTGTGGTGCATAAGTTCATGTTTGCCCG